ACCCTAGCATTTCAATAACCCAACCACTCTACAAGGGGACTCAAGTCCCAAGATAAAAAAAAAAAGTACAGATGGGCTGATTCCAGGTGGGTCATTTGACCCACATGTTTGTATAGCTGCCTCTGGAATCCCCCAGCAGGTCCCCGAAAAATTCAAGGCTAAAAAATGTTTGTATAGCTGCCTCTGGAATCCCCCAGCAGGTCCCCGAAAAATTCAAGGCTAAAAATCAAGTAACAGTGGGCTTCAAGTCAGTACTATTCTGGTGGTCCACAGCCAATAAAAATGTAGATTGGATCAATTATATCTAATGCATATAATATCTATTATAACCAATAGAGATTTGTCAACTATACTAGAGATGCCATCAAGGAAATAACAGAGCAATTAGATGCCACAAGCCAAATGGCATGGGAGGAACAGAATGGCCGTAAACAAGAAGTTAGCAGAAAAGGGAGGAGTTTGTGTAATGATAGGAGGCCAATGTTGTACTTTCATCCCCATTAATACCACCCCTGATGGCACCATCACAAAGGCTTTATAAGGATTAACTACTCTTGCCAATGAACTCGCAGAAAATTCCAGAGTAGATGACCCATTTAATAGCTTGATGGAACAATGGTTTGAAAAATGAAAAGGTATGATGACATCCATTTTCACTTCTCTGATTATTGTGTTAGGAGTAATGACCACAGTAGGGGACTGTATCATTCCATGTATGAGAGGGCTCATCCAAAGATTAATTGAGACCACATTAACCAAACACACTCCCATCTCTTATCCGGACAATCTCTTCTTATTAGACACAAACAAGAAAGTCAATTAATACTAACTAAGTTTAAAGAAAAACTATAAATAAAAAAGGGGAGGAAATTATAAGAGTCACCTTTAGGTTGGATCTTTTCTGCCAAAGGATTTAATCAGTAACAACAGCCTCACTAACTCGCTTCCCATACACTTGCTTCATGGACTCTGGTGAACCTGATAAAAGTTTATTAATTACAAAGCGTTGTTATCCTCAACCAGGTAAATTGTACTAGATGCCTGGTTGTGGAGCTGATAACCTAAAACAGTTACTGCTTCCCTGAACTTTAAAAATTCTTTGTCTCCAAAGCTCCCTCGTGACCTATCCCCTTTCCAATGAGCCAACCACTTAGACTGTGAATCCAGGGGAGGGGCAGTGTTATGTTAGAGATAAAACCTGAGTGGGCTTCCCTCCTGATGTGCTTGCTTCCCAGACTCTTTGTAGGGTGCACACCCTTCTACAGTAGTAAATTTTGCCTTGTCTATTGACTTCTGAGTTGTGTCGTCTCTCTTGTGACACCTCAATATTTTAAAGACATTTCTAACAATAACAACAGTACATTATTGTCAATTTCCCAATGTACCCCACTCTATTATTCTTAGAGAAAGTATTTAATGGTATAAAATATTAATTTTAAGGTTAAAGAACATGAGTCTGCAATGCCTGAAAGATTCACAAAATAGTAATATATAGGAAGAGAAATGACAAAGCAGATGTGGTTAGGTAAAATTATTAACTGGGGGAAGCTGGATAGAAGTATATGAGTTGTCTTAATATGGTGCAACTTTCTATAAATCTGAAATGATTTTTAAAAATACAAAAAACTTGTAGCAAGCAAACAATGAAGTGAAGTGTTTTGTGCAACTAAAGATTCTTCCAGATAATCCAAAGGATGCTATTTTACCTATAAAACGATCCAATAGTTTAAGACACAAGTTAAGCTGTTCTGTGAAGTTTGAAAGGTTCAGAGGTTCTAAGAATATGCTCTGCCCTACAAATACCTTTAGTATAATTACTCTCATGTCATGTGGGAAGTACTGTGAACTTGTCTCTCATACAAACAAACAGTAGGCTCTTGGAGTCCAGCAGAAATTCCTTTCAGAATCTATAGAATCCCCACCCCTAAACCACAGGGGATGCATTCCAAGATGTTCCACAGATGTCTGAAACCATGGATAGTACTACTCCCTATAAAAACTTGATAAAAGTTTAATTTATAAATTAGCCACAGAAAGAAATTAGCAACAATAACAAGTATAGAGCAAGAATATGAATATCCTACAATAAGTTATTTAAAGTTTATGAGTTACTTATTTCTGGAATTATCCATTTAATATTTTGGGGCCATGGTTTACCACGAATAACTGAAAACGTAAAAAGGCCAAGCCTCAGATAAGAGTGAGATTACTGCATATGCTTAAAACAATTACAAAAAAATAAATGAAACAAACCCAACTTTGAAGTATATGTTTGAATATCAAAAAGGATTCAACATACAAAAAATTACATAAAAAGTATTCTTAGCAAAACTTAAATTATTGGCTAGCATTTTGAATAGGTACACATAAGGGTTTAAAGTATTTATTTTTAAAACTGGGATGGAAATAAGCTTCTGGATTTAAGATGCTATTATGACAGGGATGATGTGGTTGCATTCCTAATAGAAAGAATTAACATCTGTTACTCACCTATATGTTTAGTTTCTGTGTGGAAAAACGGAAGGCCTGAGAAATTTAGAAATATCCCCACTATGACACATCTAGAAATGAGTTGTACTAGGAAGTGATATATTAAGTCCTGACAATAAAGTCCATGTGTGACGTTTCAACAACTTTAAGCCGCCATTCTGTGCATCTTGCCCCATACCACTGTATAATAAGCAAGATAATTCCTATTTGTACAGGGCTTTCATAAAGTTCAAATGATATGATTAATATAAAAGTACTCTGAGAAGTATAAAAGCATTCTACAAAAAGTAATAGACAATATACTTAAAAAAATGATCATCTATCTCTCTGTGTGCAATTGCCTTGATCCTCAAACTAGTTGTGAAACAGGGTGGTGTTACCATTTTAATAGGTGAAGGGGGTAAGAGAGAACAACTTGTTTCAGTGACAAAGATAGGACTAAACTCTAAATTTTGTCCTCTGCTTCTATTTCTATTACATACTGATACATTTAAATGGAAAGCAGATCATTAGAAGAAAAATTACATCTGCTAAAGTGTTAAAATTGGGTTTCATATTCATTAAGTGTGGATCTCAAAATTTATTTGGAAGCAAACATTTATTATATTAATTTTATAATGTACATGTTATACTCAACTATTAGGAACATGCTTCCTTGGAAAATGAGGCATACCAATTAGCTTCTCAGGTAACACAACACAGTTATTAAATTATCCTCCATAAACATTTTTAGTGTATATAAAACCTAAAGTGAGGGTACACCTTTTCTTCTATACATGTTGTTATTTGTTTTTAAACTTGTTCCTTGGTTTACTGTCTCAAAGAAATACAAAACTAATAGCATGAATGGACTGTGTGCCAGAGGCTGTGTAGGGTACATGACTTGCATTAATTATGAGGTATTTTTTTAATTGATGTTGGAGATGGAACCAGGGTACTCTGAGCCATACCTACATTAACGATTATGCTCTTAATCATTGTAAAATACCTAAAGTTAGTACTACTGTCATTTTTCAGTATTACAAATTAGTAAACAGAAGTTCAGCACTATTAATCAAACTGTTCAAAGTTCAGAGCAAGTTAAGTGGTAAATGAATTCCAACCCAGGTCAATCTGACTTTAAGACCTATATTTTTAACTGTACGGTTCTATAACATCTCAAAAATTTCCAATAGTAGTAGGATGCTAATTATGGACATCTAGAGTAAATAAATGAGAGAATCCTGAATAAGAAAGAAAGGTTCCCAATTTCAAAAAAAAAAAAAAAAAAAAAAAAAAGGAACAGACACCAGTACAAAATTTCCAATGGTTGTAGGAAAATATTTAAACATTAAAAAGTTGAAGAAACAATAAAATAAACTTTCAAAAAATGTCCTACTATTCAACCTCATATAATTGGAAAGATAGTATATTAGTATGATGTTATAAACTGCTCACCTGGAATTATATTTTATTTATAAATTCATTTTCTTATCTGTAATATGCAAGAATATCTATCTGGATTTATACCTATTCAACACTTGGTGGTTTTATAATGACTTAATTTTTAATGATTTCATAAGGGTAAAGATTATATATAAGTATTAATAATAGCATAATTCAGTCATTACAATATTGATCTCACTGTAATACTGGTAATTTCTCTTAGAATCCTGTTTTGTATGGATATTCTTACTGATCTTCAATTTTTAGCAGAGAGAAGGGCACTGAGATGTGAGTAATCACAATTGGTATCTCATTCTTTTTCCCCAACGGAGCTTATCAACACAAGCACTTATACAGCAAATATACTATGTCTACCTACATTTAATGCTATTGATCAATTTCAGCAAAAATACCTATGGACACAATAATTTCCACTTTAAATGAGACTAAGCTCCTTCACACCAAAGATCATTAATATTATACTTAATACTATCATTAATTTGACTTTGGATAACTCTGTTGGAAGGGCAATTAATGTCAGCAAACCAGTCCTTAGAACTAGTAAGACTCCAAAAATGGAAAATGATTGCATTCTTTGACATTTGGCTACTATTTTTTTACTGTTACATATAATTTTCTGAAAATACTTTTTACGTTGGAGTAGGTTTTTTTTTTTGGTTTGTTTTTTTCTGGTGGAAATGAGCTTTGAACTTGAGCTTCATGTTTGCAAAGCAGGTGCTCTACCGCCTAGCCACACCTCTAGTCCATTTTGCTCTAGTTCTTTTGGAGATGGGAATCTTGTAAAGTATTTGCCCAGGCTGGCCTCAAACTGTGATCCTTCTGATCCCAGCCTCCCAAGTAGGTAGGATTATAGGCGTGAGCCTTCAGCACTGGGCTTGGAGTAGTTTTATTTACAGAAAAGTAATGAAAGATAGTATAAAGAGTTCTTATATATTACAGATACAATATCAATTATTTTTAATTAATAAGTGTGAAGTATGTTATCTAACTAAATGAGAAAAGGATGAATATTTCCAAAGAAAATAAATATATACTGGGAAACAAAGTGCTGCATAAAAGGAAACATCCAACACAAACAAGATCAGGAGTACAATTATTTTTATTATCATTAGAAATTAAGACAAAATTTTCTAAAGCAAAAATATTTAAAAACTTTTGAACAGATTTACAATTTCAAAAGGCATCATAACAAATCTAAACAGTAGCGTAGAATCCATCCCATCTCATAGTCTGCCTAGTAAAATGGCAAATGTTGAACCTATTTCATATTAAACCACAGTATCTAATTTCCTAACCAAAGCCCAAATTAAATTAATAACTCTAACAAAAAACTAACAGTTTTAAAAGAACAAAAAATAAAACATTACAAGCAGATGAAATGTTTATAAAGAAAAAAGAAACCAATAAAAACCTGTGGTGTGGTGGGTAGGATGACAGTACTCTCAGCAGTGACTGGCAGGACAGGGACCACAGGGACAGTGGGAGGAGAGGGAGGAACAGCTTCTGTTGGCTAAAAATCATCAATGACAAAAAATCAGGAAAAACACCAAAACAAAAGAGAAACACATAACAGAAAGTTGTGCCATGAAGATAAATTGCAGTTCTCAGAGGTAATTAAGAAATAGGTAAAATACTAATATATTACTTTAAGTAATGAGAAAAGATTCTCCAGAAATTTTAGAAATAGCTAAATCACCAATTACAAAGTTTATATAGTAAAAAGGAGTGACTATTCTTTAGATGTTTAAATGAAAATAACCAAATATAATCACTTATAGTAACACTCCTCCTTTAGGGGGTAAGACACTCATTTCATAAACAGATGGCAAAATACTTTCCTAGCATTCAGAACACACCTGACTACTTTCCTTTTTGGAGTTAAAGAACCAAAAGTCATTTCATTAGCTTACTATGCAAACAATGAGGGTTTACAAATCTAGACAAAAACTGAACTTACGTCAGTTAGTGCTATTACGAAGAGTAATAACCTGCCTAAGCCTGCTTGTAGAGTCATTAGTTCAACTATTCATTGCCTATTATATGAGAGACATATTCTAGCAAAAATGGAAAAAGAAAAAGAAAAAAACAAGTGCAGAGAACTCTAGTGGCATAATTTAAATTAGTAAATTTGGATACTTATTTTTAATAACTTTATTTGGCTTGATTCAATTATTTTTAAAAACATGCAACTAGAGCACAGAAAAGGTGTTTTGTAACAAGACCCAATTCCTGTCAGCTGAATTAATTCATAAACAGTTGCTATACAAATGACATGTACAAAAGAAAAGCACTAAAATCAAGTAATAGACTTAAAACAGGAACAAAAACAGCTAAAGTTGAAACAATGCTTATTCTCACTGATAAACACAAAATAAAACTGTAATAATGAATTTTTGTCTATCAAATCAATCCAGAGTTATTAAAAAATGCATGAGTCAGGTGCGGTAGTACATTCTGCTATCCTAGCAATCTTAGCACTAAGGAGTCAAAGGCAGAAGGATTTTGAGTTCAGGGTCAGCCTAGACTACACAGGGAATCTCTATCTCAAAACTTTTGATGTACATATGAATGAAAATAAAATAATAAAACCCATTAAAATTGTTTTTTTTTTAAAAAAGGTGGGGTAGGAAGGACAAGAAAGGATAATAATAGAGGGGGTGAACTTAGTAAAAGCCCCGTGATGTAGCTAGGCACTAGTAGCTCATTCCTATAATCTTTGTATAGGCTGAGATCTAGAAGATCATGGTTCAAGGCCAGCCCAGGGAAAAAACATTTGTGAGACTGTATCTCAATGGAAAAATGCTGACAGTGGTGGTGCTTGCCAGCCATCCTAGCTACAGCAGGAAGTGTAAAATAGGAGGATAGTGGTACAGGCCTGCCTGGGCAAAAAGTGATACTCTCTCTCCAAAATGACTAGAACAAAAAGGGCTGGAGACACGGCTCAGGTGGTACACCACCTGTCTTGCCAGCACAAAGCCCTGAGTTCAAACCCCAGTACCACCAACATTATATGCATGTATGGAAATATTACAATGAAACTCCTCTGTATAATTTACACTAATGAAAAGCAAACAGACAGAAACAAAGGGTAGAAATGAATAGCATTTCTGTAGAGAAAAAAAATATATATATATATGTGTGTGAGTGTGTGTGTGTGCCCAATAAGCACATGAAAGGGGTCAACATCATTAGTCATTATAGAAATGCAAACCAAAGCTATAAATGACATGCTACTTTAGACTCAGGAATGTTATAATTAAAAATCAAAACCAAACCAAAAACAAAGTAACAAGTAGTGGCAAGGATGAAACTAGAACCCTTGTAACACTGATGTGGGTATACACAATGGTACAGACTCTGTGGAAAAATTGTTCAGTGATTTTCTCAAAAACCTAACCACAGACTTATGATATGACTCAGCAATTCTAATCCTAGTTATACATTCAAAAGAACAAGGAGTCAAGTTTTATATGCCAGTGTTTAATGTAGCATCATTCCCAACAGCCAGAAGGTGGAAGTAATCCAAGTATCTACCTACAGATAGATGGACAAACAAAATATGTATATACCTATAATGGAATATGGCTCAGCATTAAAAAGCAAAGAAATTCTGACACATGCTACAACATGGATGTCACGAAGACATAGTATTAAGTGAAATGAGTCTGTCACAAAAAAGGCAAATACATGAATCCACTTAAATGGTAAATTTTATTATACATAACCACAATAAATATTCTAAAAACACTTTTAAAATACATGGAAACAGGTCCTGTCACACTGCTAATGGACATATAAATTCACACAAACTAGAAAAAGAAATTTACCCGTAAATTACTAAACTCTTTGAGTTAGTAATTCTGGAAATGTACCCTGAAGGAATAATTTAAAAAGAAAATGTTTTAATACTTTTAAGGTATTCTCTTGAGCACTGCTTATAATTGGGGAATACAGTAAATATCCAAATATGTTTTAATGGTTGTAAATCATGTGAATTATAAGATTAAATATTATGCAGCAATTAAAAATAAGTTTATAAGTCATATGGAACAATGCTTATGACATACATGATGTAAAAAGGTAAAAAAAGTTTGAAAAGTTAGCCTCTGGGGACAGGATTATGAGTAGCTTTTCCCTCTTCCTTCTTTATTTAGAATTCTATTTTTCCAATTCACTCCAACTAAAGTCTCTGAGGGTTTGGTTTGAGGCTATTTATACATTGTTACTGTAGAAAAAAACCTCTAAATTCCATATTATGAGCTCAAAAATTAGTAATTTAAATGATACCCAAATTTCACTGGAATACTTATATGACCTTTACAAATGATAAAGTATAAGAAAAGGCTGGATTAGAAAGAAACGTTGCTGAATGAACTGGATGTATATATTGAAAATCAAATGGAGACTGATCCTCACCCTAAATCATACAAAGAATCAATTCCAGATGCTTTGTTGGTATAACTGAGAGGGAAACAAAACAAAACTTCTAGAAGATAATATGTTAAAATATTGTTATGACTTTGTTGTAAGCAACAACTTCTTACACAAAATAAGTGCATGTTGTTGAAACTAAAGTAGGGCAAGGAGAACATCTGTATGCAGGGAGTGGTAGGGAGGAAGCAGTCTGCCACAAGGTAAGTACACTGAGAAGGATGCCTCTATGGGCAATGGCAGTGGCCTGTATGTTGTTGGAACTCAACTGAGAAGAATGTCTGTTTCACAGAAGCAATAAACTAGCATGGAGTTTGGGGCCCTCAGTAGAGTAAAAGGGGGACTGGATGGTGATGAGTGAGGAAGGTATTCATTTATGGCATTGATAGTGATGGGAGATGTACATATGGGGGATTTTATTAAGTATATAAAGGACAGTGGGAACAAGGTTCCTCATGTTAGAAAGGGGAGTTATAAATATGAAAAGGGAGAGAATTAGCATGAGACCAATGGTGTTAAGTCTCAAATTGGAGGCACTGTTAGCAACACATGGTTTTCAAAATGTACAGATACAAAAATAAATATCAGACACAAATGTGTGTAATGTACATATACTTCCCAGATCTGCACACTGAGAGGAAGTGGGAACACTTAACACCCCAAAAGCATGAACATGTATCTTGCACACAGACATTGATTGCTAAAAACCCATTCTCCAATAAAGAAATAAACCAGGGTTCTTAGAGAAATGGCTGATCCCAGTGCTAAAGCTCTGCAAGTACAGTAAGTCTAGACATCTTTCTGTGCCAGAAAACAAGGAAGTGGTCAAAGAATAATGCGGTTTTAGAAAGGGCCTAGAAGTCAACTTGAAGTGCTGCTGATTGGGAACCACCAGAGACTCAAAATAAGTAACAGTGGCATAAAACCCACTAAATAAAACAAGAATCTAGGCATCACAACAGATATAAATATGCACATGACAAAAATAAAAGGAAAGAAGAGAAAGCATTTCCTTGCAATAAAATGCAACTTAAAAATGCAGAAGGGATGGTAGAATTACAAAATTATTACTTGGTAATCATCATAGCTATAATTCATTTAAGAAACATCAATGGATGTTTAAACTTCCTCCTGTGCTGCTGAGTGAAACTTCCATTTCACACTAGTGATGAATATCAAGTATATTCCCTCAAAATACTTACCACATTGGAGAAACTTAGCAGATATTATCTTAATCAAGTGATCAAAGTTAATACCACCAGTAAAGGGACAAATTACATGCTTGCTGGTAAAATGTAATAAGAGCATACCAAAATTCTGTGACTTTCTCTCAAAGATGCATTATCTGAATCTAATCATTAAACATCAGACAAGCCCAAATTAAGCAACATGCTATAAAATAACTAGCTGTAATCATAAAAAATGTCAGTCATGAAAGTCTAGATATTCAACATTAGATTTTTACCTTATTTTTACAAACAGCTTTATCAAGTAAAGTGATATGAAAACTGCACATAGTTAATTACACAATTTGTTGAGGTGGCAAATAAGCCAGCGCCCACAATTTTGAGTGTGTAAGTGTGTCCATCACATCTAAAAGGTTCCTCGTGCTTTTTGCTATTTGTTTTGTTCTTAGAACATTAAAATAAAATTTTAAATGTCTGAAAATATCATAAATATTTCCAAGCTACAGATGATAGCAATTCTGCTAACAAAAGCCTACAGAACAAAATAATTCATTTAATTGAAATAAAAATACAGGTCTAAATAAATAATTAAATGAAGGCTGACTGATGAGGAATGGCACAGATATTAGCTCTCAGAATAAACTTAAGAGGCAAGAAGATGATTAGAGCAAAGGATTGAAAGCATGGCAAAATGCTGGGAAGGTGTATAAAAAGATTCTTAGAGAATGTCAAATATAATAACACATATAAGATAGAAACAATGAGAGAACAATATAAAGTAACCATTATATTTGATTTATTATAGAAAAGAAATTCGGAATAGAATTTAAGCTTGAAAAATCTCATGTTCATTATGCCATCATCCTTCTCCTGCTCTATTTGTATCACTCAA